CCCTCCCTCGTCCACCCCCCCACGTCTCTCCCTCCCTTTACTCTTTCTTTTCTCCTTAGTTTATTTCCCCTTTTCAGTTCTTTGGCTTGGTAGTTTTATTTCACTTACTAAAAGAAGCAAATCCTAAAAACTGACCCCAGCCAGTGATGTGGGCGAACTGTGCTGGGTCCCATGGTGCTGGCTCTTCTGAGGGAGTGTGGCCGCTCCCCGCTGGCTCCGAGCTGGCTCCCGCCGGCTTGTGCAGAGGTGACGTCTCCACATGGAGGCATAGCCCACCGCACGCACTCTTGTTCGATTACCCTGGAGTCGGACAATCCCAGGCCGTGTTCCAGGTTGGTATGAATGTATAATTATTGTTCTTCATTTTTCTGAACGTCTTCAAGCTTCTGAGGCTGGGGTTTTAACATTTTGACTTAAAAACTTATTTTTAATGAAAAGCTGGAGTTCTTTTTATCTGAGAAGAGATTCATCAGTGAGTATTGCTCAGCTCCATGTTCATACCATGTTTTCCTTTACAGCGGCTAAGCATCTTACAGTTCTGTTGCTTTATTTAGCATCTCATGGTTTATGGCTATCTTACTGTCCTTGAAAATACTCCGAAAGGCAGAACATCTGCTGAGCTGGGCTTGTTTTAATGCTCAGTGCCTGCTCCCGCCAAAGTATGGTAGTTTGATTAGGATTATCTTCATTGATGGGAGACTCGGTAAAAAGTGCCCTGCTGGGCAGCTGTGCCAGCGGTGAGCACTGACACCTAAAACAGCCTAGACCTGAGGACTCAGGAAGTGCTTGGAGTTTGTCTGGGATATTTTTGTAACACTTAAGAATCAAGTTATATAAAATATTCTTCATCACCAAACTCTTCCACCAGGTAGCTACTGTATAAGCATCCATACAGTCATTTTCTTGAGTTGAAAGAGTTATGCAAACAACGCATTCTGACGCTGCGGTTTATTTTAATGCACAACTTTGGTGATGCCTACACCGGTGCGCCTCGGTGCTGCCCCTTGGTGCAGCTCTGTCCACTGCCCTGCCCCCTGCCCGGGCGTCACCCCGCTTCCCACCCGCTTCCCACACCCTCTCATCTCACGCTTTCAGTCGCTTTGGCGTTGGCTAACTCTCAGAGCGGTGAACCAATGGGCTCTGACGGGCCTCCCGCCGGCTTCCCCACCAAGCTCCACTGGCCAGCCTGTGCCAGCCGGAGGTCCCGGCCAGGCTTTGGAAGTTGCACCTTCTGGGAAGTCACCACTCTGACTTCTGCTGCTTCCTGGTCTCACCAGCCCTGCTGCAGACTCCCGGGTGGGCTCATTGGTTCAGGTCTCGCTCTGAGACATTCATGCATGACCAGACGTGGTCCTTGGGGATGCTGCTGTGATGTCACTCCTGTTGCAGTCCTGACATCTTACCTGTTCTTGATGCCTGACATCTTACCTGTTCTTGATGTTACAGTGGACTAAAGAGGATGGACATAGAACCTCCACCTCTGCCGTCCCTAACCTGTTTGTCCCATTGAACACTAACCCCAAAGAGGTCCAGGAGATGCGGAACAAGGTGTGTATGCACGGCCCCCTGGGGCAGGCCTGTGTGGGCAAGGCGGGGGAGGGGGACAAGGCTCAGCTGATGGGTGGAGCGTGTGCCCGTCACCACGATGCAGTGGCCAGTGGGGTGTGGAGCCGTGGACGTGCGTGTTTGTGCAGCGTGCCCCTTCCTCCATGCTCGGTCCTGGAGTGTGGTGGGGAGCAGTGCACTGTGAAGACGTCCTCCCTCTGTGTGGACACTTCCGGCTGCCCCAAGGCCCTGTAGGGCAGACATTTTTTCCCGGTTGGTGGGGACAGTGAAGAGCTGTGCTCGGCAGAGCCGTCGGGGAAGAGGTGGGCCTGTGCCGCGGCCCTCTTCGAGGGAGCAGCAGGGCATGAGGGCCTGCATGCACCCCCCGGCGGTGGTCCTGGCATCCTCCTGGGCAGCTGCGTACTGTTCATGTGCCTCCTCCCGCCTTCAGATCCGCGAGCAGAACCTGCAGGACATCAAGACGGCCGGCCCCCAGTCCCAGGTTTTGTGTGGTGTAGTGATGGACAGGAGCCTCGTCCAGGTGAGTGCTCAGAGGTCTCTGATGGTAGTGGGGTGGTGCTGGTGACCGCCTGGCCACAGGTAGTCCTAAAGTGGGGGAGTGCTGCGAGGTAAGTGCCTCGGCCACTGCTTTCCCCTGTGAAGTCCCCACGATACGCTGGGCATAGCCACTTCCTGCAGGCCAGACCCCACAGCATGCCGGGCCCGCGTCCGCAGCCCACCCGTGATGATGCATGGCAGGAGGCGGCGTGCTCAGCTGTGAGGAGGGCGGGCTGTGGGCTCAGGTCCTGTGCGCGTTGCCTGCCTGGCAGCAGGTGCTGCTTGGGAAGAGGGGGGAAGCTCCCCTAAAATGGGAGCCACGTCTGCTTGCTGCTGGCAGGGGCGATCCGGACGCTGTCCCGGAGAGCGTCAGGGATGTGCGCCCTAGCCAGCCCTGGAGCGGCCGCCTCTCGGGGCTGGCTGCGGCCTGAGTCCTTTGCCCCAGTCCTGCCCTGTCATGCGCACGCTCAGTCGCTGTCCCCGCGGGTGTGCCCTGCATGTCTCTGCCGCACAGTCATCGTGTGCTCGTGCTGGTGTCTTGCAGATGAGCCTCGTTTGCTCTCATGACTCAGTTTCCTGTTGCAGGATGCACCCCTCTCTGACTGTACGGAGACTATCGATGGGCTCGACCCTACAGAGCAGACCTTTAGTCCCGCTAAGTCTCTCTCTTGTAGAAAGGTACTCAGCGCCCACCCTCCATTGCCTACTTCTGCCCGCCCTCCTTCCCTCACCTCCTCTCCCTCCGTGGGCATTACCTAAGAACTCTGCCCAGGTCTCTGAACTACTGCGCTGTGATCAGGGTGATCGTTCAGTAGGTTCGGGGTGCCACCTCTTCTCCTTAAAGCCCAAGGCTTTCGTTCTCAGCATCTTCGTCATTGCTGAGAAATGACTGGTCAGAGTCCTGCATGTGGCCTCGGGCCGTGCATGGGTCCCACCCCTGCACTTGGCCTCCCCAGAGGTGCAGGGCTCCTGGGGACCAATCGTAGCAGACACTCTCCCATGACAGCAGCCCCCCCACACTGTCACTCCTCGTTCCTTTCTCTCTTGACCCATCCATGTAGTGAACTTAATGGAAAGCCATTGAGTTGAATCTCATTGAGGTAATTTCAGAGGAACAGGAAATATAACAAGGCGTTTTTGTCAACTCTTGAAGGAAAATGGATTTAAGGTTACTTTGAAAAGAAACTCTCAATGGCACTGGCCTGTGCACGTGACAGTGCTGGAGGCCACGTCCCTGCCGTGGACCTGCACAGCACAGAGGATTTAAGTGACGTCTACGTGGACTCTTGGAGGACCCATGAACGCAGAAAGTCCAACTGAAAGCACAGATACTCTGGGAAGTCTTAAAACCAAACAGCAACTGACCCTAATGAGTAAAGGTGTCTCCTTGAGTGTTGTGCTTCCAAACAAGTGTGGGATCAGGCTGACACGTCGGAACCGAGGCCAGTGCACCTCTCAGTGGGGGTGCAGGTCAGACAGCGCTCTGCTCAGCGCGAGTGGGGCCTGACGGGTCTCTTGATGGGTTTGTGTTTTGCTGTGCTTGTTCTCAACGATAACGAGAAAATAAAACTGAAAAACCACAGACTTGAGACATGCCGCCTCCCTGAACAAAGAAGCCTTGGGTCATTTCCTTAATGTTGCAAGGACTTAGAAGACGTCTTTGACAGCCTCGTTAGTGCCTCTTCATGCTGTGTGCGTGCCTGGAGGCCAGGCAGAGCCAGGGAGCAGCCTTCATCTGCCCTGTACAGATTGTGGTGCCCGGCCGGGAGGCTGGCTGTGCGGATGTGGGTCTCACCTGTGGTGCTTCCCTTCTACTCAGAGGTCAGCTGCTGTGAAGTTCACGTCTCTGCCTTGGAGCTGCTGGCCAGCCAGGAGAGGTGCTGACCAGCTGGGAGAGGTGCCCTGCTCCCTCCTGCATGCTCAGCCACCAGACCCTCTGACCTGTCTTGACATTTACCTCAACAATGCCACTTTGAAGACTAAGGTGCACCTGACCCAAGTCCCTGTGTGATAGCAGTGGAACAGCTTGCTGTGAGGGACTTCTCTATGTGCTAAAGGCTTCACTGGGCTTCCTGTGCGTCTGAAGGTTCCATGGAAGGTGAGGATGACAGAAGGAGGGTCAGTGCCTTTGGACTGCAGGGTGGAGAAGAATGCGGAACAGAAATACCTTGTTGGAGGAAGTGCACACAGGTGCTCCTTAAAGCAAGGGTGGAGTCTTTCCTCATACTATGAGCAGGTTGTGAGGTGTGGCTAGTCTTAGGCAAAAGACATGACGCTGGGAAAGATTGAGTGTCAGAGAAAAAGAGAACGACCCTCAGTGAGGTGGACTGACGCCGTGGCTGGAGCAGTGGACTTGAGCGGAGATGTGAGGATGGTCCACGATGGGCAAGGGTCACATCTGTTGTTTACAGGCTGGCTGTGAGTCCTGGGTGACTAGAGCACATAACAACACGTTCGTGAGTGAACAGCAAGTAAGAAAATCCACAGAGGAGCTGATGCCTTTGGAATGTGGGACGAGGAACATTGACGTCCTGTGCACTATCAGAAGAGCAGGCGAGTCTGTCCTAGAAGGGGCGCAGCCGGCGTGTTCTTTGGAAGGGAAGATGGCCTCTCCGGGAGTGTGCTTGAGAAGGGAGGACTGTCTCAGAGTGACCAGCCCAGTTAAGCTCCTTACTGGCCACTTGGACACGTCCCAGCAGCTTCTCCAGAATGAGGGGCTTTCCTCTGGGCTTGATGGTCCTCGCCAGCAGGCTGGGCGGGGGTGATGCAGCCTGTCTGCCCAGGGCAGTGACCGACTGAACAGTCCAGTCATGGCCAAGCGAAACAAGGGCCACGTATGTGATACATGGCAACTGGCTATCACATTGGGGAGGAAGCCATTGTGCCCACTCAGAGATGGCGCTCACCTTCCGAGGTGGGCGCTCAGGGCCACGAGGACATCGCTGACCAGGACGCGCGCTCAGGGCCATGAGGACATTGCTGACCAGGACGCGCGCTCAGGGCCGCGAGGACAGCGCTGACCAGGGCACACACTCAGGGCCGCGAGGTTAAGTGCTCACGGCAGCGTGGACTATCACATCTGAGCAGCCACTGCTGCCTCCCCACTCTGGCCAGACCCAGCATGCACACAGCTTAGTTTCTATACTTGTTCTCTTGGCCCTGCCTTTAAAATGTGATGCTGGCAAGGAGTACTGAATGCCCTGTGGACGGTCCAAAGAACAGACGGATCTCTCTTGGAGCACGTGCACGCAGGGTGCACCTAAGAGGCAAGGATGCTGTCAGGAGGGCCAGTCTCTGGAGAAGGACATCCCCTTGGAAAAGTAGAGGGTGAGCAGAGGGAGCAAGGCCAGGAGCTGGGTCGACACAGTGGCCTGTAGCAGTGGACTCCAGCACCCAGAGACTGCGAGGATTCACAGCATCAGGGAGGGTTTCGAAGCACCGGACATGAAGTGGCCTCATCCACACAACCCAGCGATGGCCAGCCCTGCTGGGAAGAGGCTGCTGCCCCTTGACGAGTCCCCTGGTACAGGCATTCTGCACCTCAGACCCCATCCCCTGTCCCCTCCTTGTCCAGTGGCTGCCTGTCACCTTCCAGTGTCACTTCACTCTGGAAACTCTGCATTGCTGTCATCTGTCTGTGAGGTGACAGGCCTGTTAGCAGAGGTGTTTGGCTCACTTGCGGGGTGTGGTGCGTGACGTGAGGAGCCACCTTTGGGGGCCCAGCGCTGACCCAGCTGACTGCTGCCTGGGAGAGTGTGGGGTGGACTGTGGCCCCCATGGCCCGCCTTCCCGGCCCCCCGCAGCCTCCTGGGCCTCTGTGTTTGCATGCTGCTGGCTCTTCTTGTACACAAGTTCTCAGTCTTCCATTTCCCCAGACAGACCCTGGTAGTTGGGGATTCTGTCACCTGCACGTGCTTTGGGTTGATGCTTGAAATGCCTGCTCAAAACAACAGAACTCCTCCATGCTCCCACATGGCACGTGCAGCCCCCGGGGCTGGGGTCACGGCCGGCACGGTGTCGCCAGGAGGTGGTGGGCTCTGTGAGACTCGACGGGCAGGGTCTTCTCCACCCATCTGGTCATGCGTATGGCCCCAGGGAGCCCTATCCAGGCCACAGATGCTGTCCCACTGATTGTTGGGAGAACCACAGTGAGCCTGTCCAGGCTCTGGGTGCTGCGTCCAGCCCTTGGCTTCTGAAACCTAGAGGGCCTGGCACGCCTTCCCTCCCGTCGTGTGTACCTCATGCCTTTTCTCTGCGTGCTCCTGCATCTTGGGCTGTGAGGGCTGCAGCCAGCCTGAGCCCGGGACGGCCTCCCTCCCCCCCTTTCCACGGGGGAGAGTCCTGGGGGCCCAGCTCCTGGCAGACCCCGCGTCTCTCACCCACCTTTCCCCAGAGGGGAGTCCTGGGGGCCCGGCTCCTGGCAGACCCCATGTCCTGTGTCCGCAGGGGGAGCTGGTGACGGCCTCCAAGGCCATCATTGAGAAGGAGTACCAGCCACATGTGATCGTGAGCACCTCGGGCCCCAACCCATTCACGTCGCTCACGGACCGCGAGCTGGAGGAATACCGCCAGGAGGTGGAGCGGAAGCAGAAGGGTGCCGGGGGTGAGTGTCAGGGTGGGCTCCCCGTGCTCAGGGAGGTAGGCCGCGATGGCATGGTGAGCCGCCCACGTCTGATCTGCACCTCAGGCATCCTCGTAGAAATCCCCGGGTCCCATGCCTTTGTCGGTTCCCCAGCTGAAGACCCCTCTAGTGAGCTCTGCACAGGTGATTCTGGAAGCTTCAGGCCTGCAGCCCGAAAGCCATTCCCTCCTGCCATGACAGCCCACCCCTCACCACTACACACCTTTCCAGACTGCAGCTCTGGAGCAGGCCCTGGGCGGGGACCACTCCTGACATGGCTGCGACTGGCGTTTGTAGCTCCTGGTGGAACCCGGTGTCTACAGCGTGGCACTGTCCTCCCGTCACTTTACAGTCCCTGCGAGCTCATCTCGGCCTCACCTGTGGCCAACTTCCCACAGCTGTGTGCTGTCCGAGCGGGAACTGGCTGTTCACGCTTCAGCTGCTCCTGACATCCCATTCGGTTCTTGTGTGCAAGCCTGCGTGTGCGCACGCCGTTCCCTTAATTGTTTCCATGCAAGTGCGAGTGTGCTGGCCGTGTGTGTCTGTGTGCAAGCCTGCAAGTGTCCGCATGTGCATGTATGAGTATCTGTACCTTTGTGCATGATTGTGTCCATGCACATGCCTGTGTGTGCCCGTGTGTGTACCTCCATGCCTGTGTGTGTCCGTGTGTGTATACCTCCGTGCCTGTGTGCCCGTGTGTGTACCTCCGTGCCTGTGTGTCCATGTGTGTGTGTACCTCCGTGCCTGTGTATGTCCGTGTGTGTATACCTCCATGCCTGTGTATGTCCGTGTGTGTATACCTCCATGCCTGTGTGTCCGTGTGTGTGTGTACCTCCGTGCCTGTGTGTGCCCGTGTGTATGTCCCTCCATGCCTGTGTGCCCGTGGGGGTGTACCTCCGTGCCTGTGTGCCCGTGGGTGTGTACCTCCGTGCCTGTGTGCCCGTGGGTGTGTACCTCCGTGCCTGTGTGTCCATGGGTGTGTACCTCCATCCGTGCCTGTGTGTCCATGGGTGTGTACCTCCATCCGTGCCTGTGTGTCCATGGGTGTGTACCTCCGTGCCTGTGTGTGCCCGTGTGTGTGTGCCTCCATGCGTGGTTGTGTCCATACACATGCCTTTGTGTACCTGTAGGTGTGCATGTGTCTGTCCACGTGTGCATGTTTGTGTCTGTGCTTGTACGTGTTACTGTGCCTGTGCACATGCGCTTTGAATTCTTCAGTCTAGGAAACTTGGATTTGGTAATGTATTTTTGTAAATTTGCATTTAAAAAAATTACTTGTCCTTTTTGTCCCTTTCCATTGAATGTAACTATAAGTGTGTGTTACCTGTGTGTAAACCTTCAGAGCTTTTTATAGTTGTTGTTGGTGTTTTGAGTCATTAAAAAAATGACAACCACATAAGACATGTTAGGGAAGGAGAGTGACCAGGAACCAGTCCACCCATCTCTCTGTGGCTGTAGAGGTACCCACGAGTGACCAGGGACCAGTACAGCCATCTCTGTGTCGGGCCTTTGGTGCTGGGCTGCGGCAGTGCATTCTACTTTACAATCCTGGTTCTGGCACCAGGGTGAAATGTGCTGTAGAGACAGGAAATAAATACTTAGGCACTGCTCACTTGCAACGCTGTGGCTGGGATGGGCAGCAGCTGGTTAATTTCTGAGATCAACACTACTCCGTTTGTCCTCTAGCACAGGGGTTAAAGCATTCAGCTGCTAGTGCAACTCCCAAACCCCCCAGCTGCACTCTGGGAAAGAGCCGCGCTGGCAGCGTCCCTGAGGATGACCCTGGAAACTGGGCAGGGCAGTAGAGGCAGAACTGAGGTTTGGCGACTGCAGGTGTCCTTCAGTCCCCCTCGGGGAGCCGTGAGGACGAGGGTGGCGGTGTGGCTGTCCTTCGGCCTCTCCTGGTGCACCCTGGACTCTCCCAGCATCCTCGGGAAGCAGGCGGCCCTGCAGTTCTTGTCCAGGCCCAGGTGAGGTGATGGTGCATACAAGGTCTACAGTCCCTCTCTAGTCGCCTGTTCTCGGCTTGCCGTCCACAGAGAGTCAGGACGAGACGAAAGAGCAGAAGGAGGAGAGCCCCCCGGACGCGCCCGCTGCGCCGCAGACCCCTCCCAGCACCCCTGTGAAGATTGAGGAAGGTGAGTGATGGGGCTTGGCTGGGGCCGAGCCCGCTGTCTGTCCAGCCTGGTCCTATTCACGCGGAGTGAGCCAGGGGCGGGTAGAGCGCAGGGCGGCCGGCGGGCACCTTGCCAGCCTCTGCTGGAGTCGGTGCCCAGTGACAGGCGGGCACCGGGCGGACACGGGGCTGTCCCACCACTGTCTCCTGTCCACTTGCCTGTTGCTTGCCCATCGCTGTCACCTCCTTGTGCTGGATGACACCTCCGGAGAGGTTGCACTGCTGAGTCGGACAAGTCTGTCTGCCTGCCTCACCCGACGGCCGCCTGTCGGGGTGTGGCCTGGTGTGTCCTGGCCCGTGTCCTGCACACCATCTTCTTGTCTGTGTGGAAGCCTGTGCTCACCTCCACCCCAGCCTGTGGTGTCGGGGAAGCTCAGCCATCTTCCCATGTAACTCTGGCTGCAGTCAGCTCCTAGATCTGTCCTCTGTAACCCTGGCTGTCGCCGGGTATAGATCTGTCCTGTGTAACCCTGTGACTGAGTGTGTACATCGTTCTGTGACTGTGGAGACCCGTCCTGTCTGGTGTAACTGTGACAGCATGTGTACATCGTCCAGTGTAACCCTGTGACCAAGTCCTGTGTGACCCCGCTGTGACTGTGTCCTGTGTGTCCCCGCTGTGACTGTGTCCTGTGTGTCCCCGCTGTGACTGTGGAGACCTGTCCTGTGTGTGACGCTGGCTGTGACCGGTTGCATAGACTCTCCCTGTGCTTTCTCTTCTTGTGGCCACGCTGCATCAGGAGGCGGACGCGCTAAAGAGTACCTGTTACCATAGTAAGTACCGCCCGCCGCTCCGCTGTCCAAGGACTCGTGCTTCGCCTCAGCCCTCATCCCCTCGCTGCTTCGTTGTTCACTGGTTTTGTTTTCTGTTGACTTAAAACAAAAGCAGAGACCCTCCCATTTGTTTCTTGGTCCCTGTGCCCGGCCGTGGCCTCCGGAGGTGAGGAGGTGGCTGTGTCCCGTGAGCGCTGTGTGCGGCCCTGCCCCACGTCTGCTGGGCACATCCAGCTCTGGGGGGGCTCCGGGCAGCGTGGAGTCCACCTCCTGGCGTGTGAGGATCCAACTGGCTTGACCCTCCGCCCGACCGGGGCCCAGCCGTTGGAAGCCCGACCTCGAGTGGTCAGAGCCTCCCAGCCTCCGAGCTGACCTCTGCCCCGGCGCTAACCGCAGCTCGCTTCGCAGAGTGTCTCTAACTGGGGTGGGGAGGCCGCACCTGTCCTCTGGGGCAGCAGGTCCAGCAGGGGAGGGCGCTGCCCCATGCCCTGCACAGGACTTGGGGACCAGGGCCTGCTGGGGCCCCTCCTGGCCCTCTGGACGCTCCAGCCCTCCGGATGGCCTGGGGCGGCTGGGTTGTGACATACTAAACGGTTGGTGCTGACCAACCTGCTGGCTGCTTGTCACTGTAGTAAAACCTTCTCCACCTGGCGGCCCCCGCGGTGACCACGGGGCCTCTCGGCACCCCGTCCCTGGGTCGGGGGTTGAGGAGTTCAGAGGGGGTGTTCCCAAGGTGGCCCCAGGCCGCCCGCTCTAATCTGCTGGCTGGCTCCAAACGTGGCCACCCAGCCATGGGCTCAGTGTGCTGGAAGCCGGGCAGCCCTGACCCCTATCTCTCCGCCCCAGAACTGCCGCAGGAGCAGCCCTTGGGGGACGACAGTGACGCTGCCACCCTCAAGCCGACTCTCCCTGACCTGTCCCCTGACGAGCCTTCAGAAGCGCTCAGCTTCCCGCCAGCAGACAAGGAGGAGGAAGAGGGTCTCCAGGATGCGCCCCAGCCTCAGAGCCCCGCCAAGACCCCCACGGCCCCGAGCCCTGAGCCTGCCCCCAGCCAGGCAGCCGACGAGGCCCCGTCCCCGACCGCTGAGGAGGCCGCCGTGGACCCGGGCAGTGACGGGTCTCCAGGCAAATCCCCTTCCAAAAAGAAGAAGAAGTTCCGCACCCCGTCCTTCCTGAAGAAGAGCAAGAAGAAGGGCGACTCCTGAAGGCCCCGCCGCGTCCCTCACACCGTCTCCCCGCTCAAGGAACGCAGAAAGCCCCCCTCACCCCACGCCCACCTGACACTGACAGACCCACCCCTGGTGCTGACCGGTGTGCACGCAGCCCCCGCCCGTCCACGTCCCCAGGGTCTCCGGCCCCGCAGAAGCTTCTGCCAGCTCTGGTTGGACTTCTGCCCTCGCTCTCCTTCCTCGTCTACTGTGCCCACCCATCTGCTAGGCTCCCGCTCTGCCCGTCCTGTGCCTACACTCCGCGTCCCTGCCCAGGCCAGCCAGGCCCCCCGGTGGGGTCCTGTGCACACATTCCTGTGTCCCTGCCTGGCCAGCCTGGGTGCCAGGGAGGGACCCCAGCCCAGGGCCTGTGCACGCACTCCTGTGTCCCTGCCCGGCCAGCCAGGCCGCTGTAGAGGGGGGCTGGGGTTGGAACCCCGCCACAGGCAGCTCCAGCTGAGCTGTCTGACCTTAGACCGGAAACGGGCCCGTGTCTTCCTCCCCGCGGTCTGACTCCCGCCACGGGAGCAGGCAGGGTCCTCTCTAGGATTTTGAGCAGGTGTGCCACGCTGTGACATGAACGTTTCTGACAGTGGGCACCTTGCGTGGAGCCGGCGGCCCCGCAGCGGAGCACTGCTCACCCTCTACCGGAAGGTCCTGAAACAGCATGTTTGACTTTAGTTCGACCTGAAAGATCCCCGATTTGATCAGAGAACTCAAGGACAGACAGGATGGCTCTGATGGGCCTGAACCCATATCTGGGTTTCCTGGGTGACTCCCCCGCACTACTGTCCCTCGAGGGCAGGAGAGGCCAGGCAGCCTGGGGTGGGGAGGTGAACAGGAACCCGCTAGGCTTGGCGGGCTGCATGTCAACAACACTAGCTGCTTCCGTGCTGACCCCTGGACCTGTCGCCATGCCAGCTGCTTCCTGCTGCCCCCCCACCCTGTGGCCTGGGCGGGTCCAACTCTCCGTCACTGTCCGGTTCACAGTGGACTTACCCCACCCCCACATATGCAATGACTGACTTTCCACTTTTGTAGCTTCTTTTAATCCTTTGTATGACTTTGAAGCATAGTTGCATATAGGACAGACTGGAGGACGAGGACGGGCCCTGTACTCCCGTCTTCTCTGTAACACTTGTTTACTCACAAATAAAATTCTCTCAGCAGATTCCTTGTCTAAAAGTGGGAGCACTTTTGTTTTGATTCCTTAGTCTCTGCTCCTTCACTGCAGGAAAGTCGACCTCGGGCCCCACAGATGCCTCTGAGGTTTCTGTCTGGATGAAATGCCCACTTGGCTCAGCTGGTGACCAGCTCTCTGAGCAGACTGCAGTGCGGGAACACTGCCTCTGAGGGTCCTGATCATTTGAGCAGGGAGAGGAGGCACCGTGTATAAAAGAGCTGCTTTATTGGGCCACACGGCATGTACCCTTGTTACAGAATGGGGAGAAGCCAGGGGACCTGAGCGTGGCCCTGCTCAGAGCGGGAACACGGCTGGAGTGAACACAGTCCCTGGTTCTGTGGAGATGCCACCGCGGGGTCCACCATGGGAGTGAAAGCCACAGGCGGGGGACCCGTTGGCTGCTTCTGTGTGAACATGACAGGCAGAGCTCCCCTGGACAGGACCCAGGGTCCACCATAGGAGCAAACAGTGCAGGCGGGGGGGCCACTGGCCGGTTCTGTGTCAACATGACAGGCAGCTCCCCCAGACAGGACCTGGGGTCCACCATGGGAGTGAACAGTGCAGGCCAGGACGGTCCATGTGGACTTGACAGTCAACGGCCAAGGGTGCTGCTGGACTTCTGGTCGCCTTTGTTGGAGCAGCAGGGCAGGTCCAACTACTCGTGCTTCAGGGGTGCTGGCTGGAGGTCTCGCAGGAGCAGGAACGGCAGCAAAAAGAGGCCCCCACACACGGTGAAGCAGACCTGGGCCCCGGCCAGCCAGTACACTGCAGACATGGGCTAACTTAGCTGTCCACCCAGACCCAGCTGATGCCAGGCTGAGAGGGGAGCTGTGGCACCCCGCAACATGTCTGCCCGCTACTCACCTGACGCGGCCACCAAGGGTCCCAATGCCCGGGCCAGTGCACCCAAGCTCCGGAGTGTGCCCATGACTATGCCCTTCTGCCCTGCTGAACCTGTGGGCAGATGACAGGTCAGGGCCGGCTGCCCCTCCTGCCTGAGCCCAGCCCACCTGGTCAGGGAGAGTCTCACCATAGCCAGCGACAACGGAGGACAGGCAGGGCACCACGACTGCGGCCGCTGTGGGACAGGGGACAGATAGGCTCCCTGGGTCACCCATCCCCACAGCACCCCCTCAGTTGCCCCAGGGTGTCCCTGGTCAAGTCTCCCACCGCCCTCCGTCCAGGTCCAGCCTCCTTGTGCTGCCCAGCTCAGTCCACTCACCGAAGGAGTAGAGCAGCAGCCCTAGGCCCAGGATGGGCAGCGAGGGGCCCCAGCCGATGAGCAGGAAGGCGGGCACCAGCAGTAAGAGGGCCTGCAGGCATGCCAGCCTCAGCACAGGCCTGCACCCCCCCCCCCCCCCCCCGAGGGCCACACGGGCGCCGGACCCCACCCACTGCGGGGAGAGACCAGCCCCCCACCAAAGACTGCGGGAGAGCCCCTGGGTCCTGGTCCCCCAGGTCCCCAATCACCACGGCAGGGAGGGACCCAGGGCCCCACTCTAAACACTGGAGCACCCCCCCCGTGTGGGGAGCACCCCCTAGTGTGGGGAGCACCCCCCACTGGGGAGCACCCCAGGCCTTCTCACCCACCGTGGGGAGCCCCCGCCCCACCGCATACCCGCTTCACCACCGCGAGCTCACTGCCGGGGCGAATGCGCCGGGCGTAGGTGCCCTGGATGGTGGCCATGGTGAGGCCCATGAAGAAGAACATCTTGCCCTGCTGCAGGCTGGGGGACAGGGTGCTGTGTGAGTGCCCCCAGGCGGCCCGGCCATGTGGGTGGCACCCCGTCGAGGGGGACGGCCTGGGGCGCCCCACCTACCTGCTGAAGTGGAAGCGCTGGTGGGCGAGGAAGGTGAGCGTGAACTCCAGGCCCGAGAAGAGGAAGAGGTAGAGGCCGTAGACCAGGCCCAGGCGGCGCAGGCTGCGGAGTCCTGCGGGGCAGCAGGTGGGTGTGCGGGGTGCACCCGGACCCCTCCCCGGAGCGCCCACCACCCCTACAGCGCACCCCTCGGAGCGCCCCGGTCTCTCACTGTCACTGGACGGCGGGTCCTGGCCACGCGCCACGGCCGAGAAGCGGAGCAGCGCCAGCGGGCTGAGCAGGTCGGCAGCGGCCCGGACACCCGGGCTCAAGGAGGGCGCCTGTTGGCCGAAGTGTGGACTGCTGGGGGCTCCAGGGCTTGGGGGACCGGCCTGCCGGCTCTGCCCCCTCCGGAGAGGCGGGGTCCCTGAGAGCCTCCAGACCACCTCCCTGCCACCCCACCTCCCCTCGGACACCGCTCCAGGGCCACCTCCTGACCACCGCATCCTGGACACGCCCCCACGGCCCCCCACACCGCTCCAGGGCCACCTCCTGACCACCCCAGAACTGCCTGCCGGACTCCCTCAGAACCCCCCATCCTGGGAGTGCCCCTCACCCGCCGCTCGGGGGGCAGCGTCTCGGGCAGGAAAGCAAAGATGAAGAGCAGGTCCGAGGTGGCGAAGAGCAGGGCCAGCCAGGGCATCATTTCCACGGGCAGGGTGGCGCCCAGGAGGGGACCCAGCGTGAAGCCCAGCGAAAAGGCCACACCCACGACGGCCTGAAAGAGGAGGGGACACTCGGGCACCTCGGTGCCCAGCCCCTCCCGGTGCCCAGCCCCTCCCGGTGCCCGAGCCCCTGGGCGCCCCACGCACTCACCATACCCCGGCCGCGCGCCTCCGGCGAGCTCAGGTCGGCCACGATGGCCGTGGACAGGCTCACATTGCCCTTGCTCACGCCCCCGATCACCCTGGACACCAGGAAGGCAGCGAAGCTCCTCGAGGTGGCCCACACTGCGTAGGAGGTGACCAAGCCCGCCTGGCCAGGCCGTACAAGGGGCAGGTGAGGAGGCCACTTCCGTGCCCTAGTGGACCCCACACCACCCTAACGCTGGAGGCAACAGTCCTGGTGTCCCCCCCCACCCCAGCCCGGACGTACCAGGGACAGCAGCATCACCGGGCGCCTGCCCAGGCGGTCAGAGGCGGCGCCTGTGAGCGGGGCCGAGAGGAACTGCAGGGCGGAGAAGCCGGAGCCCACCAGACCTGAAGGAGCAGGGCGTCAAGGTCACAGCCAGGGGCAAGACACCCAGGAATGCGCTCCACCCAAGGCTGGTCTCTGCCGGGCCTGCCCGAGGGGCCTGCCCGAGGGGACACTCGGCCTTGGGACCACTGGGCAGGACATCAGCCAAGGTATGCGTCTGGAGAAGGAAGTGCGGACCAGGGCCCCGGCCAGGGCCGAGGTCTCCCCCACTACGACCCCAGCACACCCACTTAGGCGTCGGGACGCACCTCCAAACAGGACGCTGTTGTATCTCCTCTCGGCCGGCATCCCGATGGCCGAAGAGAACCAGTCCACCGCGCGCTGCCACGAGCGGTACAGCGGGTCCTGCGGGCAGACACGGGGCTGCTGACGGGGGCCAGCCGGGGGCCAGCGCAGGGGGAGTGGGCGCAGCGAGGGCGTACCTGGGCACGGCCGAAGCCCTCCAGCAGACCGGGCAGCAGCGGCAGCAGCAGCGTGAAGGCCAGGAGGTCCAGCAGGAGGCTGAGGAAGACCACGGAGAGCACGCGGCGCGCGGACGCGGGCTGCGGCCGGATCGGGGGGCGCGGGGTGCAGCTCTCGCTCCCGCCGTGCCCCATGGTGTCTTCGCGCGACTCTGGTCTGGCTGCGGGATGGGGACGCGTGAGCACATTCCGCTGCCACTGGAGGCGGCGGGTTCGCGCCCCCGCCGGACGAACCGCTCCCGGGCGATCCGCCGAGGGGCTGTGAGATCAGGGGCCCGGGACTCCCCCAGCTCTGCACCAACGCGCCTGGGCCTCTCCCCTGTCCAGCCCCGCGCCCGCCGGCGAGCAGGAAGCTCGGGTTGCGCAAAGAACAAGCCGCACAACGGCTGCACGCCCGGAGGGGACGGGCCTGCAGCCCCCCGCGCCCCGCGCCCCCACCGGCGTGCGCTGTGGACTCGGGCCGGGGGTCCGGGAGGTGCGGGAACACGGGCCCGGCCCTCGCGCCCCCAGCCCGGCCGGCCTCCCCGTGGGCGCCCGCCGACGCCGAGTGACCCTCCTGCCCCGCAACCCCCGCCGGCGAGAGCGCGCCCCCAGCCTACCTCGGCGGCCGCGCGCTCCGGAGAAGGGACGAACGCGGAATGGACGGGCACGCGGGAGGGGAGTGTCGAGCGAGACCACGCCCCGGTCACGCCCCTGCCGGAAGCCTGACCAGCCAGCGCTTCCCCTTCCGGCCGCGGGCTGGCCTCTCGCGTCCCCAGCCGGAGTCCTGGCCCGTTCCCGTTCTCCACGCCTGCCCGGTCTTCCCGTGATGTCCGGTCTGCAGTCGGACCCAGGCCCGGGCTTCTCGCCCTGCACGGCCATCAGGCCTGCGTTCTGGCGGTGGGAAGGGCAGGGGCCTCGCCCCGAAGGCTTTTTTCCGCCCATCAATGAGCCGGGCCCCTGCAGAGAGCGACCGCTGTCTGAATCTTCTTGTGCCTCTGGGCCCCCAGCCTGAAAAAAACCACTCGGACACCCCACACCCCATTGTAGGGTGTGATCTGTGGATGGTCAGCTGTGACTTCGTTGGTCCTGACTCGATAGGACGCGCAGCGTTGTATAGAGTACTTGCTGCAGACGATCAAAGATGACAGTCTTCAACATAGATTACATTAACATCAAGAAGACAAAAATGTAACAACTATGAGATATCATCTCACTCCAGTAAGAAGACCAAAATTTAACAGAACAGCAAAGAACAAATGCTGGCGAGGTTGTAGAGACACTGGAACCCTTATTCACTGTTGTGGGAATGTAAAATGGTGCAACCACTGTGGAAATTTGAGTGGCGCTTTCTCAAAAAGTTGCAAATAGAGATACCATTTGACCCAGCAATTCCACTACTGAGAATATACCCCAAAGAGACCATAACCGACATCCAAGCACATATATGCACACCCATGTTTATTGCGGCTTTATTCACAATAGCAAGGAGTTGGAAACAACCTAAGTGCCCATCAACAAATGAATGGATAGAGAAGCTGTGGTATATTCACACAATGGAATTCTATGCTGCATTAAAAAACAAGGAACTCATGAAATACTATAAAAAAATGGGTGACCCTGGAGGACATACTCAGTGAAATATCTCAGTCACAAAGGGACAAAAGGGGACTGACATCGGGGTTGCGGGGAGACAGAGAAGGAGGGGAGGAATGATGTATACTGCATTGAAACAGATAAGGGAGAGAACTGTTTAAAAGATATATGAATGAGTACTGTTGTCATTAATAGTGGAGTAGACTTGGGGGTAGGGATTACACAACAATGAAAGTTCCTTTTCAAGTAGAAGAGTAAATTGGGAGGAGGAGAAGGTGGGCAGGGAGAAAAGTGCAACAATGAATGACTGGAAACCCTAAGTCTCTGTAAACTTTAATTAAATTCAGTAATAGTAATCAAAGACAAAAATCCTCACCGCTGGGCCAAAGACAGCATCATGACAGATGAAGAAACGATTGAAGTTGTCAAGGATTTAATCTTACAGTTGAATTAGATCCACAATCAACACTCTTCGCACCAGCAGTCAAGAAATCAAAAAGTGTGCTGCACTGCAATCTCCTGTCAAGGTCCTCTCCAAGGTGTTCAGAAACAGTGATGTCAGTTTAAAGACTAAGGCACACCTGGGCCAAGCCACAGTCATCTTGATTACATGCTACACATCTCAAAGGTGGACAGTGACTAAGGATGACGAAAACCTTGCTGCCTTTAAGGGAGCTCTGGTGGCCTAGTGGCAAGGAGCTGTGCTCCAGTCCCGAAGGCGTCCACCAGATGCTCTGCTGGAGGATGGGCAATCTCCTCCAGTGCCAGTTAGAGCCTACTGGATGGTACCAAAAAATAAAAAAGATACCTTTGAGCTGTGGTGCTGGAGAATACAGGCCATCCCATTGACCGCCAAAAGAAACCTATTTTGGAGACAATGCAACCAAGTGCTTTCTGAAGGTGAGGTTATGAAGCTTCATCCCCCATACTTTTGACATGTTGTCGGCAAGGCTGTCCTTGGAAATTGACACGTTGGAAAGTTGAAGAGCCAGTAGAAGATTCCCGTTAGATGCCGTCGAGTGGAGGACAGCTCATAGGGACCCTTGAACAACAGATCCGGACTCTGCGCCATCCTCACACTTCCTGACAGAGCCCATTGCAGCAGTCACGGTGTCAGCCCACCTGGTCAAGGCCTTCCTCTCCTTTGTCGACCCTCCACTCTTCCCAGCATCAAGTCCTCCTCCGAGTTGCTCCCTTTAGCAACATGCCCGAAGTATGTGAGCTGAGGCCTCATCATTCCTGCCTCCAAAGTGCACTCCAGCTGCTCCCTCTCCAGGACATAACTTGTCTTTTCTCCCGGCCCTCCTCTTCTCCGACACCACAGCTCAAAGGCATCCATTCTGCTGCTCTCATCCCTAGTCACTGCCCAGCACAGACACCTAGTAAATGACTGGAAAGACCACGGCCTGAATCAGATGCACCTTAGTCGTCAAACTGACATTACCACTCCTCAATAATTTGGAGCGGTCCCTAACTGCAGATTTTCGGGCACAATGCATCTCCTTATTTCCTGACTACTAGTACTGAGGGTGTTAATTGTGGATTCAAGCAAGATGAAGCTGTTGACAGTTTGTCTCCTCTCCATCATGATGTTGCCTACCAGCCCAGTGTAAGAATCTCTTCTTGACACTGAGGTGTAATCCATACTGAAGGTTGGAGTGTTTGACCTTCTGCAGCAAGTGCTTCCTCACTTCCAGCAAGCAAGGGTAGTATCTGCGTAATGGAGGTTATTGATCAATCTCCCTCAGACCCTGATGCCACATTCCTCCTCTCTAACACGAGGGATTGACACGGTGCCTGCATTGGTGGGCTCGGGTAGACCAGAGATGATAATGGCAAGGTTCCGGTCTATTGTTCAGAGGGTGAGTCTTGCTGGCACCTAACATTGTGTGGAGAGGGGGCATCTGAGTGCAGCAGAGCTGCTGCTCCAAGATGTGGGGGTATCCCAGGCTGTCACCCGTAACTGACCCTCCAGCAGGTTTTCAGAGGCAGTATATATCGTTCTGGAAAAAGACACAAGCCTTCAAATTCACGCCTCCTGTTGCAATTCTGATACTATGGGCTAAATCTTGAATGACCCAAGAAGCATCAAAAGATTATGGAGGGAAAACAGTCACTGTACCAAAAATAACTGAATGAATGAAATATTTTAGGAAATACCATATACTAACAGGCACAGCCCTGCACGTGCTCATCAGTCTATGCCAGGAAATCTGGAGGACTGGCCTGGCCAACTAACCGGAAGAGATTCCTGTTTTTATTCCCAAGCGGGGCCACATGGCCCGGAAGCTTTCAGAGCCCCACTAGGCCAGGAGGCACATGGAGCCTGAAGAGCCAAGCCTGTGCCCAGACACTCTGGGGTGCAGCACCTGCAGGGTCCCGGAGCGGCAGCACCGACACACCACCCCAGGACCCCTTCACTGGGGAGCACAGGGACTATGGCCAGGAGTGGCTGGAACCAGAGCCATCAAATGAGGGGTTAAGGGTGGTGGGGAAGAACACAGGACTGACACATTTATGGGATTTTTACTGAGGAAGTGTCTCTGCATGTAGGTGTTCCTAACAGCTTAGAGACACGTGCGTCTGTCTGTCCTTGGCTTGTCTGGACACAGGACTTGTCTGTCAGAGGCTGGCCCCAAGAGGAGCACCCCAGTTATGACAGAGTAGGAAGAAGGCCTGGTCATCCGCTGTGACCCAACGGAAACACTGAAGCACAGCCCACAGTGTATCAGAGCTCCGGACACAGGGCCTGACGATTAGAATGCAGGATGTGCACAGCATGCACGTAACTGGACACTGTTAAAAAGAATTGAAACACATAAAACTGACACTGCAGGTACTCGGGCCAATGATACTCGCGAAACCCAAGATGCACTAACGGCGGGCATGGCCCAAAAATAAGGCCCCAGGAAGAGACGGGCCAGCGCCCCACGTGTGTCAGATGACGGACGGTTACGTGAGGAACGTTTGTACCATTTTCTTTCAGGCAGTCGGACAGTGGTCATGACCCAGACAGACTAGCTGACCCTGAAGCCTGATAGGGAGGGGCACGGAGACCCCTACTCCCCCTGCCAAGCTGCCCAGGGAGGGAAGCTGCTGGAGCGAACAGCAGAGAGGTCTCAGAGGAGGAAGACTCGAACAGGGGACGGGGCTGAAGGACCCTGAGCTTTCGTTTTGTAAGAGACGGTCCTGTGTCCTGGGAGGTCCTGCGTCATGTGAAGTGTGGACAGCTATCTAGAGCGGAGAGGCTGCTGCCAGGTTAACAGGGCCCTTGCTGGCTCAGAGCCAGCTGCCACCCACCGGACTCAGCGGGGTTCCTGAGGCTGCCCACCCACAGATGGGAGGGGCCGTCATGTACTCTCAGAGAGGCTGGTGGATTTGAACTGCTGGAGACAAAGGGTTTCTGTTAACAGGCCATGGACCTAGCCAGGGAGGCGTCCCAACACGTGGACAGTAAGCCTAACCCTAACTCGCTCTGCCACGGTTTGGGGTCACTCAGACTGGACACAGGGCCTCAGACTCAGAGTAAGGTCAGCGTTAGGGGAGGGCCCCAGCGCCGGTGGTAGCACGCTCCCTGCAGCCCACGGCACCCCTCCTGTAAGGGGGCACAGCAGTGGGGCTGCCCAGGTGCCACAGTTGAGCAGTTCCAGGATGGAGCTGCGGGGGTGCCCGGCGTGGGAGGGTCTCCAGTGGTTCAGTGGCTGTGGTTCACACGTCTCATCCTGGAAGGCAGCCCTGTGGGTCAGGTCCTTCAGACGAGGGTCCCCATGGTCACAGGGCCAAGGTGGCTCTGCTGACTGCCCCACACCAGGCCCCATCAGCACGTCTGACAGAGGTGAAGGCGACCACGTGAACTGTGCCCAGGTACCCTACACCCAGCCCTCAGTGGCCTGGAGATGACTAAGAACCCAGGGGGTCTTCCCTAGGGCTCCCCAGTACCCCGAATGAAATGGGGGTGGGGGTAGGGTGGACTCTTCTGTCCCCTATGTGTCCTGATGGGAAGGCAGGGCCCAGGCCCAGCAGTCGGAAGTCTTAGGTGCGTTGGCTGTTCTGTGGGGTGACCACAGCTGTCCCTCAGCCAGCAGGGTCACGGCTAAACTCATGAGCTCGTGCATGAGGTACCCGACACTCGGCCTTCCCTGACAGGACAGCAGAGGTGGCCTCTCGGTTCTAGGAGTCAGTGCAGGTGAACAGAGACCTTGTGACCTGTCTCCTCATCCCTTGCCCACCTGTCCAAGATGGGAGGGGCAGGGTCAGATGAGAGCAGGGACCCTGAGGGGTGTCCCCTCGCCTGGCCTTCCGGAGCAGCAGGCCGGACAGGACCTCAGGCTCCGACATCCTCCCCACAACCAGCTCCCACCCACACTGCTGCGCCAGCCACACGGACCGTCCACGATGGTCACCAGGTGGTCCTAGGCAGTCAGTGCGGACCTGGCCACCTCTCCCCTGCTGACAGGAGCATGGAGTGGGGACCAGAAGGGAGACCAGGCCAGCCCCAGGCCAAGTGTGCAGTAACCGAGGCGAGGCCTGCACAGCCCAGGACAGGTTTATTTATGGAGCATTCGCCGTCACAGAGGTGGCCCCGGTCCAGAGCCCAACATGCCTGCTGCCCAGCTCAGTCCAAGTGCAGAGCCTACTATCACCCAGCACTGGACAATGCAGGGGACAGCCTGCCCTGCAGCAGAGCCCAGTGTCCCCCACAATTGGACACGGCAGGGGACAGCCCGCCCTGCAGCCCAGCCCAGTGTCCCCCACAACTGGACACCGCAGGGGACAGTCGGCCCTGCAGCAGAGCCCAGTGTCCACTACTAGCAGACCTTGGCTCTGGCAGGACACAGTGAGGGACAGCTCGCCCCAGAGTCCACTGTCCCCCAAGGCACGTCAGGTCACAGTCCCCACATGTCCTCTCGTTCATCTCTTGAACTTCTTCCTCTTGAGGGCCTTCCACTCGCCCTCCTGTGTGGCCAGGCTGCTGAAGAGCTGCTTTACTTTGCGTTTCCTTTCCGCGTCCCTATGACAGGAGTGTGGACCCAGGTCAGGGCCGGCATGGTGGCCTCACAGACAAGGCCAGGCAGCCACCGCGGGAGGCCCACATGCCACAGCACAGGGCCAGAGCCACACGTGGCCGGAGCCGGCCGTCCAGCCCCGCCCCAGCCCCAGAGCCCCAGGTGGCTGGAGCCGGCTGTCCAGCAGCTCCCCCGCCCAGCCCCAGAGCCCCCCCCCCACAGCCCCGGAGCCCCATGTGGCCGGAGCCGGCAGTGGGCCCGCCGTGCTCACCTCTGCAGGGTCTCTGAGAGCTGCACGCGGGCCAGGAACTGGCTGTCCTTGCGGATTTCACGCACGGCGCCCTTGAACTCTCGCTTGTGTCTGTGGATCAGACGGCGCCTCTCCTGCTCCTCCCGGCTGCCACCCTGTTTCCGGCCAAACTCCAGGCTGCGGATGGGGTAACTGTGTGAGCTGTGGTCATCGCACGCTCACGTCACCCCAAGCTGGCCAGCAGCAGGGAGGGCTGTGCCGGAGGTGGGGACTACCTGCGCCACCCCAGGAGCCCCCTCCTCAGAAGTGCTGGGGGGACTCACCCTTTGACCCTCAGGAACCCCCTCCTCAGGCAGTGCCCAGGGGGAGATGCTGCACTTTGACCCCCAGGAGCCCCTCCCCAGAAGTGTCGAGGGGGGAACTCACACTTTGACCAGCTTGGGTGTGAAGAGCTTCAGGGGGACCGGCTTGCTCTTCTCACAGACCAGCGGCTGGTAGCGATGCCCATGGGCTGCCATGTCTGCTAGGACACTGCGACACAGATCCTAGGGCGAGGGGCACAAGAGTGACCTGCTGTGGCCCTGTTGGCCCCCAACGCACGGCTGCCCTGGTGGTCACCCCGCTAGCAACACAGGGCCTCAGGCTTCAGGGCTGCGCACAGGGCTTCTGGGGGACACTCACTCCACTGGCCATTCGCATGTGGGGTCCCCCAGACAGTGTCCCCACTCTCTCACCTGACACGTTGACCTTACCTGCAGGTCCTGGGGGTGCCCGAGGCCCACGAGCTCTGTCAGTACTGCCTGGAGGGGCCGCACGATGTCCTGGAAGGCGGGCAGGGCGCCATACAGCCGCACGCAGTGCTTCACCAGGTCCAGACAAGTGGCCAGACAGGACAGCCTGGGGAGGGAGGGGACCTCAGCCATTGCAGCCACCCCCAGGGCAACACGGGCCCCAGCCTGACCCAGCGAGAGGCCAGCTAAGGTGGGGAAAACTGTCAGGGACACAACTGTAAAACTGATGTTTCTGGGGGTAAATCAAGGTGTCTCGGCCACTCCCGTCTCCCGTGCAGCTGGCTGTGCCGTCCGCCGCGGGCACCCCGTCTCTGAGGGCCTGTCCCTGGCACACACCTGGCGTGGTTGGTCTCGGTCTCTGCCTGGCCCGGCAGCCCGCTGGCCCAGGACAGGGGCAGGTTCCTTCTCTGCCACGAGGCCGCGTCTGCCGTGCTGGTTACCACGAGCAGCTCCGAGTTCTTCCCATGGGCCCGGAAGGGGTGGACCAGCACGTAACCTGAACGTCCAGGGGGACAGGGAAAGGCCTAAGCAATGGGGCAGGCGGCAGGACGCCAGCTGGACTGGTCAATATGCTGGGGAACAACGTGCATCCCCAGGGGTGGAAATGGAGTCCATGAAGGGACACTCATCACCCCCAGCGGCGAGCTGAGGGACAACAACCCCCCCAGGGGTGGGGATGGAGTCGTTGAGGGACAACACACCCCCCCAGGGGTGGGGACGGAGTCGTTGAGGGGGACACTCACACCCAGGGGTGGGGACGGAGTCGTTGAGGGGGACACTCACACCCAGGGGTGGGGACGGAGTCGTTGAGGGGGGACACTCACACCCAGGGGCGGGGATGGAGTCACTGAGGGGGGACACTCACACCCAGGGCGGGGACGGAGTCGCCGAGGGGGACACTCACTCACCCCGAGCTGGCTTGCTGGGAATGGCCACGTGGAGAACTCCGAGGAGGAAGTTAAGGAGTTCGGGCACAAAGCGCTGTGACAGGGACACATACTCCAAGAAGAGACAGCACACAAAGAGCCCTTTGACCACGTCCTGCAGGGAGAGGACTGGGCACTGCGGAGGGACACAGAGACGGTCACAGGGCTGTCACCTTGGGCTGCCCCACAGGCACCACAGTCCCTCCCGCCTCACTGCCCAGGACGCCGACAAACCCCTCCCAGCTGAGACTCCACAAGACAGAGTGACCACAGGGTGACACCGTCTCCTGAGGACGCGGTCTGTGCAGGGAGCCAGGGCTGACAGCCCGAGTCCACACGGCCCCTGAAGTGACCCATAAAGGGAAAGGAGCTGTCTGGAGTGTCAAAGTCCCAAAGGGAACGGGGTCCCACAGCCAGAAGGGCACCGCTCCCCGAGAGCACGAGTGAAGTACTGGAACAGAGGCCCCAGGGCCGCATGAGGGCAGGGTTAGCCCTGATCCCACACCCCAGGACCGGGGAGCCCGCCGGCCTGCACCCACCTTGGTGAGCAGCTGACTCATGCACACCAGCGCCGGGGTCACCACCGGGTGCCAGAAGTCAGAGGTCGGGAACAGCAGCCCTGTAATCTTCAGATAAATGAGCTGGAAAGGAGGCAGGCAAGACACTGAGACATGACCCTCCAGGGGCCCGAGACCCTCCCGAGGCCTGAGACCCCCCCCCTCCAGAGGCCAGAGACCTTCTAAAGGCCCGAAATCCCCCCTCAGAGGCCTGAGACACCCCCCCTCAGAGGCCCGAGACCCTCCTGAGGCCTGAGACCCCCCCCCTCAGAGGCCTGAGACCCTCCTGAGGCCTGAGAACCACCCCCCCCAGAGGCCTGAGACCGTTCAGAGGTCTGATGGCAGAGGGGGTCTTGACAACAGGGTGTAAGCCACCACCCATGCCTGCTTCCCACCAGACACGGTGGCACTTCATGGGCACCACTCTCTGCCTGGCGAGGGGTGCCCACCAGAGGGCCAGGGACAGAGAAGCCCGCCTCCATGGAACTGTGACCCGCGGTGTGCCCCCGTTAAGGGAAGAACTGCTCCCTGCTCCACTGGCGTCTGGTCATCTGGTCTCCTGTGACACTGCTGGTCAGCAAGGGGCTGAGACGTCCCCTCCCAGGCACAGCACGGTGGGCGGCCCCTCGCCCTCCCCTCCTGGGGACAAGCTCTCCCGGGGACAAACCATCCCTGCACCAAGGGGTCCTTGTCACGTGAGTCAGGCCTGGAGCTGTGATCTCTCCCCAAGGACTGGGTCCTCCTGACCACATGCCCAAAGTGTGTGAGGCCAAGTTTCACCATCGTGGCCTCAAAGATGCACCAGGCTGGCATTTCATCCAACACACACTTGTTGACAGTCCTGAGATATTCAGTACGCTTCTCCAACACCACAACTCAAAGTTAAGACCTGTTCTCCTGCTGTCCAACTTTCAGATGCATAGAAGTAACAGAAAAATGCCAGGGCTTGGATCAGGCACCCCTCAGTCTTTAAACTGACATCATTGCTCTTTAGCACTCTGGAGAAGTCCTTGAAGATTTTCCAAATGTAACATGTCTTTCAACATCGCCACTCAAGAAGTATGGATCCAAGTATAACGAAGTCACTGAAAACGTTAACTGTTTCTCCGGCCATCATGATGTTACCATGTTATCACGGTCCAGTGGTGAGGAGTTTTGTTTTCTTGATATTGAGATGTAATCCAGACTGAAAGCGGTAGTCCTTGACCTTCTACAGCAAGTGCTCCAAGTCCTCCCCACTTTCCACAAGCACGGTTGTGCCAGCTGCGTCACGTAGGGTGGTGATGCTTCTCTTTCAATCCTGATGCCACATTCTTCATCCAGCTGCTCAAATAATGAGCTCAGTATACAGGTCAGACAGGTATGGAGAAAGGATACAAGCCTAACGCACCCTTCCTGACTGGGAATCGTGTAGCGTCCCCGTGTTCTGTCTGGACAACAGCTTCGCGGTCTAGGTGGAGGTTCTGACCCAAAGGCAGGGTGTATGCAGAGACAGTGAGTCTCCACTTCCTTACACATTTCTATTACATTTCTGCCTTAAATGATGACAGACTGGAGTATTATTATGTAAGTGATACAATTTTTTTTTACCGTGACTTGATTCTAGTTCATACTGAATCTCCACTGGGGTTGCTTGTTGTTTGTTGTTATGTGCCGTCGAGTCGCCTGCGACTCATAGCGACCCGATGTACAACAGCCCTAAACTCCGCTCTGTCCTGTGCCAATCGCACTGTCTCTGACACTCCCATCCTGATTACCCCAGTCACCAAATCAATCCACCTCATAGAGGGCCTTCCCCTCCTGCACTGTCCCTCCACCCTCCCAAGCATGATGTCCCTCTCCAAGGACCAGTCCCTCCTCACAACATGCCCAAAGTATGTTAGACGGAGCCTCAGAATCCTTGCCTCCAAGGAGCAGCCTGGTTTAACCGTTTCCAGAATGAATCTGTTTGTTTTCCTAGCAGTCCATGGTACACTCAATACTCTTCTCCAGCACCACAGCTCAAAGGCATCAATTCTCCTTCTATCCTCCTTGGTCATTGTCCAACTCTCTGATGCATAACCTGGGGTTGCTTAGCTTATAATTTTTTTTCTCTCTCATTAACTTTAATGAACGTTGAGAGAGATCTTGGATTTCCATACATTCATTGTTGCATTTTTTCCTCCCTACCCACCCCTTCCCCCGTAAGTGGTAATTTTTAAAACTTGATTTTCTAATTGTTTGTGAGAGAGCTCTTGGGGCGTAGTGGGTGGTTAAGGAGAAACACTGCCAATCCAAACACATGTGGTTCAAATCTACCACCGGCTCCATGAGGAAAAGCTGGATTGTTTGCTCCCACGCGACGCCCGGCCTCTAAAAGCCGGAGGTGAGCTCTGGGTCGGTCCAGGGAAGTCCGTGGTTCCGGTTGTATCTAAGGGCTTCTAGCGCTCCTCCCTCTCAGCAAGCAAGGCTGTGGCTTCTGTGAGTGCAGGTTGCTCATGTGTCTTCCTCCAGCACTGACACCTCCACCTGTCTTCACAAACCCAAGCTCTCACGCCGTCTGCGCAGCATACAGACGAAATCGGTGTGGAGAAACGATCCAGTCCTGGAGCTCACCTTGACTGTAAACCACGTGTTCCCTTCTCTATTCTGATTATCACTCCAGACACAAGTTCCCCGTGAGAATAACTAAGTGTCCTGGGATTCTCGGTCTTCTCGGTATCAAGACGGTACGCTGTGTGGACCACACTGTCAGAGCCTCTGCAGAGTCAAGAAACACAAATACGCCGCTTTCTGCGATTCTCTGTAGTCTCTATTACACCTCCCTGTCCTAACTGGTTTGGAGTCATCCTTGGCAAGATTGCATAGTGTATTACTGATAATTTCCCCATTCTGTGGAATAATACCTTTTGGGAACGGGAATAATGGGAATTTCTTCCAGTCAGTTGGCCTGGTGAGCACATCCAGGCTGCCACTGTCTACTCAGACATGTCTTGGTGTGCTGTCAATTCCCAGGGTTGGCCTCCATCAGAGCCGCGTGAACGTCGTCCGTCCTTCCTTCACGTTGGTTCTTGATCGGATGCTGCTTTCTGAAGTCTTCCCGCACCCCCCAGTTCTTCAGGTCCGGTGCCTCCGTGTATCCCCGCCTCTGTCTCAGGACGCCTCCCGTACCAACACAGGCTCTGCCCATGGAGTTCCGTGCTGGAATCCCAGCCTTGACTTTGCTTCCACCTTTCAGCTTGAGAAACTAGAAACTCGAGCTCTCTGCCCGCCACGTTATCAGCCTTTGCTTTGTCTTCTCAAGCGTCCCTCTGAAATCTCCTGTTCAGCACGTCTCTGGGGTGTGGGTCTAGTGTGATCTCCGTTCTCTCCTTCTGGCCTGGTGCTGTGAGCCTCCCCAGGGCCGCAGTAGTCAGAAGACGCGCGGCATAATGACACATCTGAGAAGGGACTCTCATCTAACATGTATACAATACCCCAGCACCTCAACAAGAGAAAAGCAAACAACCCAACTACAAAATGAGCACAGACTATGTATAAACAGACACTTCACCAAAGAAGACATTCGGATGGCAACAAACACATGCAAAAACATTCCAAATCCCTAGCTCTGAGACAGATGCAAATGAAAACCTCTATGAGGTATCATCTCACCCCAGTAACAACAGCAAAGTTCAACAGAGCAGCGAACAACAAATGCTGGCCAGGCTGCGGAGTGACTGGAGCCCTTATTCACTGCTGGTGGGAGTGTAAAATGGTGCAACCACTGTGGTGCTTTCTCCAAAAACTTGAAATAGAAATAGCATTTGACCCAGCAATTCCACCACTAGGAATATACCCTAAAGAAACCAGAACTGCCACCCAAACAGATACATGCACACCCATGTTTACTTGCTGCTTTGTTCACAATGGTAAGGAGATGGAAGCAAACCCAAGAGCCTATCAATAAATAAATGGATAGAGAAACTTCACACAGCACTGAAAAACAAGGAACTCATAAAATATTACACAACACGGGTGACCCTAGAGGACGCTATGCTGAGTGAAATATCTCAGTCACAAAAGGACAAATACTACATAACACCACTGTCATAAAACAGGACTGACATGGGGGTTGGGGGGAAACGAAGAAAAGAGGTGATAAATAATGAACACTGCACTGCAACAGCTGAAGGAAAGAACTAAAAGGAATACATGATTAGACATTATTTGTTGGATAACAGTCTAGAATAAGCAGTGCATAGCAAAGCGGTCAGGGGGAGGGAGGAAGTTATGCAACAATGAGGGAACTTTTTTTAAAAAAGTGACTAGGGGGTAGGGAGGAAAATGTGCAACAATGAATGAATGGAAATCCAACTTTGCTGTAAACTTTCATTATAATCACAATTAAAAAAATAAAATCTGAATTCATCTATTAACGAATAAAGAGACTGAATTAGTTAAAAAAAAATAAATACTCCCAAGAGTAGCAGTGTCACATCACTGAAGCCAAGCAGCGCAGGCGACACACACACCGGGGAGTCTGTAAGGGGGAGTCTGTTAAGGAGGCGGCCGCTGCAGGGGCTAGTGCACTGAGCTGTTAGCCACGAGGTCAGCAGTAGACCACAGCTGGCCACGCAACCCGGGCCCTGTGAGCTTCTGCTAATCGTGAACACGTTTCTGTTCCAGCACAGTGACAGGCGAAGGCCGGTTCCCGAGTCACTGTTAGGATGCCACCTACTACAACAGCTCCAAACCCAGAGCCCGCTGTCCAGACCCACAGGACCCAGTTGTTCACGGTGAACGGACAGAAGATTTGACCAAGTGACGTCAGCTCCCTGGGTGCTTCTGAGCCTGCGCACGTGGACAGAGCCCCTCTCACCCTGCTCATGTGCTCATGGTCCTGTGTGAGTACCCTCCTCCCTCTGGGAGCCATGCCCTCCACGGTCAGCCCCATGGGGTGGTCGAGGCAGCTGGCCCTCTGCACTGCCTTCTACGTCGGGGGGTCTATGCTCAGCAGGTCCAGGCCAGGGAAGGCTGCACCCCGTGGGGTGGTGGGAGGCGGCCGTCCCTCAGCCGCCTGCCCGTGCCCGGGGCCCATGCTCACCACGTCCAGGCCAGGGAAGGCCGCGCGGCCCTTGGCCTCCAGCATCTCCTCCATCTCGTGCATGGCATCGCGGAGCACAAACCTCACGGCCTCGCTGGCAGCTTCAGGAAACATCTGGCAGAGGTTATAGAGCTGCCTGTTGATCACAAGTCAGAACAGCACCAGCTGTCAGGCTCAGCCTGCTGTCCCTGGGACGCCGCTGCCGCCCAGACCTGGGATCCCTCACTCCACTATGAACCTGGCCTGTCCGCAGCCACCCCTGGGCCTGTGACAGCTGGACACCCACCCTAACTCCGGGACCCTCCCGCGGGCTGGAAGCTACAGATCCTTTGAGTAGGGGGTCTGCAATGGCACTGGAGGACAGGGTCCATGCTCATAAGCCCCACAGGTGGTCAGCTGGAGGCACTGAGAGCACCTTCTCAAGCTGTCAGCTCAACGAGGGCCAGGGCAGCCCCAACAGGGGTGAGGCACACTGGCTCCAGAGGGCTGCTGCCAGCACAGCCACGCCACCCCCGGGACGCCCCACCAGTACCCTACGGCAGGGGCCCGGGCTGGGTCCTGGAGGACAGCTACAGTCTCCCTGCACCTGCTACCTCTCACCTCACCAGGCAGGGCGAGGGGCTTTACAGAGAATCAAAGCAAAACAGGGCAGCCACCAACGCCCAGATACACAGAAGGGCTCCTGTTCCAGCCACCGACACCCAGACACAGAGGGGCCCCTGTTCCAGCCAGCGATGGACGCTCAGACACGACACACCAAGGGGTTCCCGGTTATTATCCCCAGGTCTGGTTCCCCAGGCTGCCTCCTCTCTGTGGTACCTGCACCAGCACCTGCTGACCAACAGGCTTGGCCACCAGCACAGGCCCCAACAGCACACTGTGCCAAAGCCCCACCAAGACCACAGCTGCCCTTCACTGCTGGCCCTAAGGCCACTGCTGTGTCCTCTCTGTCCCTGACCACTCTGTCCTGCCAACAAGCGGGTCCCCTTCGCCCCTCTGAACGCTCTCTCCTGACCCGAGACGGGTCACACTGGACAAGCCCCGCCCACCCCACAATGCTGCTGTCACTCACACAACCAACTTGTCAATCACATGGAGGTCCGGAGGGTCTGTCGTGGCCAGATGCCCAACGTGTTCCAGAAGGAAGCCAAACAGCTTCTGCGGGGGACAGACCTTGATGTATGCAATGCGCAGCACAGGTCACCACCCCCCGGGGCCACCTGTGAAGCAGAGGGACGGGGCCTGCCAGGAGCCCACTCCCAGGAGCCAGTCGTTGATGGCCAAGGTACTTGTCATACAGCCAGTGAGGGCCACACAGGGCAGTCCCCAGAGCTGGGTCCCCAGGCTTCCCTCCCAGGGCTGGGTCCCCCTGCTCGGCCTCCAGGCCTCGGCCCCGCGCTGCCCTCACCTCCAGCTTGGCTTTGTTCCCCGCTGCCAGGCTCGGGTGGTTGCACTTCTGAATGCGCTCCACCACCAGGAGCTGCTCGCTCACGGACTTTCCGGTCAACAAGGCCTTCAGCTCCTCCGAGGACTCGGGAGCTGCCGGAGACACAACACAGTCGTGCTCATCACAGAGAAGAGGGGACCCCAGCGGCTGACGTGGGTCGGCAAGGTGCCTCCTGCGCCCAGGACCGGGGACAGCTAGACGCGCCTTCTGTGTGGCTGTTTCGCTCCCAAGCTCCAGCCCGTGTGAATGGACAGAGCCCTCTCCTCGGGCAGAGCTGGGAGACGCCACGGCTGGTCCAGACCACGGAATGGACATGGAGTGACCGTCTCAAGAAAGCCAGGCGCCAGCATTGTGCTTTCGCAGTGCACCCAAGGGGTGTTTCCACCTCCTCCCGAGGGAGTAACAGGCCCAAGCCTTTCCGTACTCCACCAGTGGGTGTCAGGTTATGAAGAAGACACCACGAGAAAGGATCATAACGGAGACATGGGAACTGAGTACACACTACAGGGAAATCGGCCCACGGATGAGCTCCGAACTCGTGCCCAACCTCCCAGGGCTTGACCAGCTCCCACCGTGGTCCTGGGAGGGTGAGGCTGGTGTGTCACGGCTCAGGGCCACGTCCAATGGGTAGTGACCATCCAGGAGCCTCCCAAGGACGTCCAAGGGCTCAGGGTCATGTCCCACAGTTAGTAACTGCCGGGAATCTCCCAAGGACATCTACATGGCTCAGGACCACATCACATGGGTAGTGACCACTCAGGAGCCTCCCAGGGATGTCCATGCAGCTCAGGGCATCGCATGGGTGGTGACCGCCCGGGACTCCCAGGGACGTCCACCCCGGAGGCCAGCCTGCTGTGTCTCCAAGATGAGCTGGGGTCTGCTCACCAGAACTAGACTTTTCCTGAGGAGCTGCCAGAATGACAGTGAAATTGGTGAACGCTGGCCTCCCGCCTGGACCACGGCCAGCTGTGACAGGACACCTAGGAGCTGACCGCTGACCGCCTCCCGCCGGCCCGGGCCCCGACGCCGTTTACCTGCGAAGGTGTAAGGCAGCTCGGCCGCGGCGTGCACGCTCTGGTTCCCGTCTGCGCGTCGCCCCCTGCACGGCTGGTGCTGCCCCTCCTCCGGGCTGTCCTGCTCCTCCCGGCTCTCCTCCTCGCTGTCCACGTTGGAGTCCAGGTCAGAGTGGCTGTCGGGGTCATCGCTCTGCCCCTCGTCCTCCCCACTGGAATCCCCTTCCTCCTCGTCCTCCCCATCGCTGTCCTCCTCTCTGCTGTCGGCGTCACCGGCTTCCCCGCCTGCCTCCTCGGGGGCGGTTTCCTCGATGTTCATCTTTCCGTCCTGGGGGGAGAAAGGACGCACGGACGTCATCAGGACATCAGTGCAGTGACTGCAGGCCGAATGCAGTTACACCAGCGTGGTCACACGGCGTCAGCTCCCAGTGACAGCGGGCTGTACGCACAGTTACAGCAGCGTGGTCGCACAGTGCCAGTTCCCTGTCCCTAGCCACAGGGAGCGGTGGCCCCTTCCTGGTTTTCCTTGGCTGCATGGTGACGCATCCCTAGACCTTCCCAGCCCCAGGACCCTCCAACCTCATGTGTGGTCATCCCACTGAGAAAGGTGTCCAGGGCTCCAGCAGCCGGGGCCAGGGACCTCCACTGTGGTCACTGGTCTGGGAGCAGCTGGCATGGCTGTGCTTTGAGGCTTCTTGTTTGGGAAGGGCCCTACTGCCCCGACCAGACTCCTATCTCTAAGGGAAGTGGAGCAGACCCGACTCAGAAACATAGTTAGCGATATCTACAATCCCAATTTTTTTCCTTGAAAAATTATTTCACTAAAAAAACCCTGAAGATTATACACGTCTGGTAATGCATATGTCAAAACTAAAGGTTAGATTCACGCAGCGAGCTGTTGTGCACCATCGAGTTGGAACCACACATGACTGACCCTCCAGTGAGTCTGAGAGGCAGCAGACCCCGAGGACTGAGGACCTCTGTGGATCAGTGGTGAGGAACTGAGCTGCCAACCTGAGTGGCCACAGTTTGAGTCCCCTGGCTCCTCCACACGACAGACGGGCAACCCCTCCTGTGCAACGTTACCTCCTGAGAACTGCTGGTCGGGTCTAACAAATCACCCTGCCCAGCTTTCTCCACGAGCCGTCGGCAGGCTCCAGCGGCACACCTTTGCTGGCAGCACCAGGCTGTATCGCCCAGCCAAGTCCCCAGGGCTCCCTGCACCAGTCAGCACACCTATTGCCAGCGTTACAGGTCACACCAACAATCGCTCTGGAACAAACCAGCTCACTGAGCCCAGACTCTGCAGCTGTCAGGGGCTGTCCAGGTGAGACGGCCATGTGCAGGCGACGTGACAGAGACCTGCCCGCTGGATTCTACGCTGTGACCTGATTGGTTGACTCTAAGCCGGGGGGACCGTGTGAGACGGAGGAAAGAGAAGCCCCCCAGGCTGTGGTCTCCAGAGGAACCGAGGATCAAGCCTTCCTGCGGGGCAGCTCTTGGCCTCTGCGGGCTGCGTGTTTCAGGCAGTGGCCACCACGGCTCCCTGACCGGCCTCCCGTCCACCTGTTTGTACCCGGCACTCCTCAGGGTGTGGGGGCCCTGGGACACCTGGGGATGTGACAGGCCCGTGACCGTCCAGTAAAGAATGATCCTTCCTGATGCCCATGTACGACCGTGCCGCCCACGACCTGTCAGTGCGCCTTCTCTTGCACAGGAGGACGACGTGCAGCGGCCACTTACTGTGTAGGAAAGCAGACGCCGGTCATCTTTGTCCAGGACGAAGCCGTCATTCAGGTCATCGGCGGACAGGTGCGCTGGCTTCTTGGTGCCGTCTCCCGCGTCCTGGCCGAGCATCCTCCGAAGCCTCTCCGCCTGGCCAGACGCAGAATGGTCACAGGGCGCCCAGCTCAGAGAGGAGGCAGGTGGACTGGGGCCTCTACCCGCCCGCGGGCCCCCCAAGACCACCGTGTACCCCACGGAAGCAGGCGGCCTGAGGCCTCACACCTGCCTGCCTGTGAACCCCCAGCCCGCCGTGCACCCCACAGCAGCAGGGAGGGCAAGTCCTCAACCGGCCTGTGAACTCCAAGCCCACAGTGCACCCCACAAAGCAGGCGCCCAAAGCTTCCACCCTACAGCCCCCCAGAAGCAGGGCTCCTTCCACGGGGAGATCTGCGCTCTCCCCGACGGCCCCCACAGGACCAGCTTCTGTGGCTGCCGCTCTACTTCCATCCCCGGAGCTCTGTGCTCTGCAGGTGCCGACAGGTCATGGGGGTGCCCTGCCTGGGGAGGGGGCGGGGCGGTCTCACTGTCTGGGGAGGGGGCAGAGGACGATCTCGCTGCCTGGGGGGGAGCAGAGTGGTCTCACTGACT